TCTTTATTTCTTTAAATAGAAACACCAAGTCAAGGAACAGGAATAAACAGGAAGAGTAAGACTAGGCCAGCGACAGATTTTCCATTGGCTACAGCAAGATTTTTCATTTTCTTTTCTTCTTTTTTCTCCTTACAGCAATTGCAGACGAGTTCCTCCACCTTGATTTCTGCAGGACGAGGTGCCACTTGCAGTCCAGCGCCAGCCCTGTGCTGGCTAACGCCGCTCTCGTGTGCACCGGGGCTCCGCTAGACATCAACAAGCTGTGTCGGACAACACAACGGGCAGTAAATAGCCGAAGTCACTGCATCTTTCTGGACACCCTGACAGCATTTCTGCTTTCTAAATCCTGCCTGACTCGGCAGCACTGCTCATAGCTCTACAGATGAAAATCAGCACTGCTGGCTTTGCCCGCAGACCCACAGGCAGGTACCGGGACATGCCAGGCATCACGCGGGGCTGGTGCTGTGCTCACAGGCAAGTGCGGCGTGGAGCACGTGCGATACCACACCAAATTCAACGCATGGAAGGTCTTGGTGCCCCGCAGTCTCTATACAGCAAGCGGGTAACTCCCACAACACCAACAAAAGCCAGACACGCCTGCAGCTGCCTGATGCCCCACCAGTGTAACTGGCTTCCAGGCTGGGACCGTAACTCAGAAATGGCAGAAAGTGCCCTGAACCGAAGGAGCAGATTAGGTTCCCAAAGATCTTGACTCTGCTTCCCTCGGGCTACAAAATCTCCCTTCTTTTAGTGGCACCAGCCTCAGCAGTACATGTAGAAAAGCAGTCAGCTCCATCACAGAATCACAGAATCACTAGGTTGGAAAGGACCTTCAAGATCATCAAGTCCAACCATTAATCCAGCGCCACCATGTCCCCTAAACCATGTCCTGAAGTGCCACATCCACACGTTTCTTGAACACTTCCAGAGATGGCGACTCCACCACCTCCCTGGGCAGCCTGTTCCAATGCCTGACCACCCTCTCAGTGAAGAAATTTTTCCTAATATCCAATATAAACCTCCCCTGGCACAACTTGAGGCCATTTCCTCTTGTCCTATCACTAGTTACTTGGGAGAAGAGGTCAACACCCTCGTCGCCACAACCCCCTTTCAGGTAGTTGTAGAGAGCGGTAAGGTCTCCCCTCAGTCTCCTCTTCTCCAGACTAAACAAGCCCAGTTCCCTCAGCCGCTCTTCATAAGACTTGTGCTCCAGATCCCTCACCAGTTTTGTTGCCCTTCTCTGGACACACTCCAGCACCTCAACGTCCTTCTTGTAGTGAGGGGCCCAAAACTGAACACAGTATTCAAGGTGCGGCCTCACCAGTGCCGAGTACAGGGGCACAAGCACTTCCCTACTCCTGCTGGCCACACTATTTCTGATACAGGTCAGGATGCTGTTGGCCATCTTGACACCCGGACACACTGCCAGCTCATGTTCAGCCGGCTGTCAACCAGCACCCCCAACCGCAGAAGCATCACCTACCGCAGAAGATGAAAAACCTGCCTTCTCTGGGTGTAACTTTTATGGAGAAGTCCATAAAACCACTGAGAGCAGATTCAAGTGCTGGAGACACAAAACAAAGCAACAAAACAAGACACAAAACAAATCAAATGATGTTAAGTAAGTCAAACAGCAGGGTGATGCAATAGGATGATGTCACTGCAAAACAAACCCACCGACAACCCAGAAGGTCATAGCGTGGATTGAGAGTTTGTGAGCAGAGCCTGGTATAAAGACCATTGTAAAGCCCATGAGTAAAGCCAAGTCTATTCTTGCTATGCGGTCTGGAGAGCCTTGCAGAAGTTGTTTTTACGACTCTGTCTTGTACAGCCCAGGAGACTCTGGGACATTGCATGAAATTCATGATATGACAGATCCTGTACAACTGGGACAAAAGCAGAGCTCTATTTAAAAAATAGGGATTGTAACACAAGCACAAGTGCATGGTCAGGTCACTGTGGGCTTTCCTCCCATTAACCGCTGTCTGCTTTAAAGGCTGTTAGCCCATTATTCAGCATCTCTCTTTAAACCAGAAAACTAAAACATAGGCAGTGGGTAACAATAGACTTTAATGATATACCTGGTTAGTACTTAGCGACTTCCATCTTTCAGACCCAGACTGAATGCCAAATCACCCTGGCAATTGCATTTCTTGCAGTTATGAGCCCTTCTCCTTTTTAAAATACATCTTTCTGACAGCAGCCCACAGCTAGCATTTCCTTTTCATTCTCTGAAGTGCAGAGCACTACAAATACATCATTTAGCTTTGCTGCAGTCCTTTCTGTCCCTTTGATCATCTCCTTTACATCCTTCTGCATCTCTGCTTCATTCCCGCATGTGCAGTACATCAAAAAAGAGCTTTGCAGCAAGTACCTTGGGCTCTTTGGGGCAGGTTTTTTCAGGGACAGAATCCCAGCTGGTGTAAAATGGCACAAACGCCACTGAAGTCAGCAGCATTACTGTATTTAAACTAGCTAAAATTCTGACTCTAGTTCTTATTTCAAAATGCCTTATAATTCAACTAAAGCTTTAAAATTATTTTCTTAGAGCGCTGACTGCTGGCTCGGAAATTTCCTCGTTGAACTGTTGAACTCAGTTGGAGTCCACTACTTTGGCACTCAAGGAGTAAACCATGAACGATGCTCCCTTCTTCCTTCCGTTCATCGTGTCCCCTTAAAAATGGTTTATGATGCTAAGAAATAGTTTTTCTAATAGAAAAGCATCTAGACTGGACGCTTGCTTCTTGCATTTTACAAACTTAAGTCATTCCCCTTTGCATTTGGCTAATTGTTAGCTGAACATTTTTTGCATATATTTATAAAACTTCATTATAAAACATTTCACTTCTTTCACATGCTTTAAAACCAAGCAGTTTCATAGTATTACCATATCACAAGTATGGCTTTCCCCAGCTCAGAGACTGCCAGTGAATGAACCTGGGAAAAGGCTATGAAGGAGGTAGCGTAAGGCCTGGGGTGACGGGCAATCCTGGCTCTACGCCTTAGAGTTCAGCTTCCGCTGAACACTGCATGGTTCCCACGAGCACAGTAATCTGAACCAACTCATGAACACCCTGAAGAAAGGAGTGCTAGTTGCCCTATTTCACAGATTAGATTCATTGGACGGGTTCTGGGCAGCCTGATCTAGTTGAAGATGTCCCTGTTCATTGCAGGGGGTTGGACTAGATGGTCTTTAAAGGTCCCTTCCAACCCAAACTATTCTATGATGCTATGATTGGGAACCGGAGCCCAGGGCTAAAGTAACACCTCCAATATCCCAAGCAGAAGTGAACTCTGTATTCCAGTCCCTGGCTAATGATCCCCTTTAGCTCTACTCTTCCTTATACAGAAAGGAAAAAAAAAAATCAGCTCTCAGATAACTGAGTATCTCAGATCTGATGTAGAATATGGTAGTAGTAAGATGAACACATAGAATTTTACCGTTCCAGAAGCTGACAGTCACATTCCTTACCCAGCTGACAGTAGACATGAACCGGGAAAAAAAGATTTTCTTTTCAGTTTTCTTGCACTGAGAATTGCTCCTGAGTAACAAGAGCTACTCTTTTCTCTCTACAGAAATCTCAGCCTGTTAAACTGCTCTTGTGATGGCTGAATCCACATTTCAGCGACAACAGTGGGAAGCGCTGCAGGCAGGGCAATGCCCCATGAGGAGAGCGCTTCTCAGTTCACGGGATGATGAAACACATGTGAACTCTCCGTGCTCCAGCCAGCTTCTGGGAAACAATTTCTCTGTGCCTCAGTCTGATGTTGCACTGCCTCAGTACTGCTTACTTCTTCTCCCTCTGGGAAGGAATCACTGCTGTCTCAAAAAAAGAAAGAAAAATTTACTGTGGCGTAGCAGGTAAGCTGGCAAGTAAAGTAGCAGGCAGTAGCTCTAAAACTTTACAGAGAAGCATCGCTGAAACGTACCTCAACATCTGACAGTTTGAATTGTGCCCTTCGGGTTTTAAAACCACAGAAACTTTGGTACACATCCATGCGGAACACTTTGCGTTGCTCAAGCACCACTTTCTATTTTGGCTAACAAAGAAATAAAAATGCAAACCGGCTCCGTGACAACCAGCACATAAGTGAGCGAACTGCCCGACTGTGCCTTAATAAAGCGCTTTCCTCTCCCCTCACTGCATGTTGAAGGTCGCTTGGTTTAGGTAAGCACATGAAGTCATCAAAAGGAAGATTAATTTAAAAGCTTGATAACTTTTTTTCCTTTTTTTGGGAACGTCAGTGAGGACCGAGCACCAGACTATCTAACTAACCGAGAAAGGACAAAGTGTTCATCCTGCCCAAAATGAAAATGCCTGAAAACTTTTTCCCCTTCTTTCCCTCCCTCCCCCGCTCCCTCCCTCCCCTCCCACGGTTCTCCGGCTGACGCCTCCCCTGAGCCAGCATTACCTAACTTTTACACAAACACGCAGTTCCCATAAGCATCAGCTTCAAACAGCTCTGGCTTTCTGCCTGATCACATCTCGGTTTAGGGGAGCAAAGAGCTACTACCAAGGGGTTCGCCAGCAACTCTGCAAGGTAACCAACTTGTTGGATTTTTACTTTTTGTTTGTAATGCCTAACTAGTGGTTACGTAGATGGACCAAAAAAAAAAGCCTCCTGGCAAACTGGCTTGCTGGAATTTGTAGTAGGAGAGAAGTCTCAATACGAACTCAAAAATAGATTAAACACCACTTTGGCTTACTTGCTTCCTGCAGGGAAAAAGAGGCAGTTTTAAAAATCAAGATCTAGCGTAAAATATGAAATCACTAGTATTTCTCTTAGTCATGGGTGCCAACTATATGTGTTTAAACATGTGTATGCATGCTGACTTAGTTTCAATTCATCACATCAGGCAGATTTAGAAAGCAGCTGTCCTCTGGGACCATGCTCCAGCTCTTTCGCTCAGCGCTGCCGCAGGCTGCACGCCTTTCTCTCCAGCCACGTCGCTGCAAAAAGCCCTTAATCCTTTGTAGCTTCTCGTACTTTTTGCAGGCTCTGAATTGCCAAGATGCTTCTGCTTCTTTCTCTGGTCACTGGGCTCGCCCTGTCTGCCTCTGGTGTCATGACAGACAAAGGAACGGATCCAAGCCCAGAGTCCTTTCATGACATGCAGAAAAAAGTGAATGACCTCTGGCAGAAGTTGCTCTATCCGGTAATGCCTGGTAATGAGACTGATGGGATGATTTACGCCACTTGTGAAATGAAGCCCAGCTCCAAAATAGATGCTGACAAGCCACAAGTGACTGGGCAAGTCTTATTCAGACAGTGTTACTCATATGGAAGATTAGAAGCCATTTTTTACTTGGATGGGTTTCCGCTGGATAATAATCAATCTGGTAGAGCTATACACATCCACGAGCTTGGGGATCTCAGCAACGGCTGCGATTCTACAGCAGGACACTATAACCCGTTCAGCATGAATCACCCCCGTCACCCAGGGGATTTCGGCAACTTTTTTCCTAAAGAAGGTAAAATCAGAAAATACAAAACAAACCTCTCTGCCACTGTGTTTGGTCCATATTCCATCATGGGAAGATCTGTTGTCATCCACGAGCAGGAAGATGACATGGGCAAGGGCAACAATAAGGCCAGTTTGGAAAATGGAAATGCTGGGAAACGTCTGGCTTGCTGCGTGATTGGGATATGCAACAAGAACTTGTGGGAAGAGAAACTGCCCGAGGTTACCGAGAAGAAGAAGAGAGGGCTCAAACAACGAACACAGAACCAGGCTTAAGTGAAGACCAACAAGCTGGCTACAGCCTGGGCAGCACAAAGTACCTTAGCCTGTGCCAGGATTCCCATATCCATTTGCTTGCTCCTGTAAGAAATGTGTATCACTTTGTAGAGCCTCCTTTCTGTAAGCCCATCAATAAAAACAGCATCAACTCAACATTGTGATGGATTTTCTTGAAGAGAAAAGATTCCCTTTCATGCAGTTTGGGAGTTGAATGCATGTGAATAGGAGTGCTAACAGATAGGGTCTGTAAAGAGTCTGTGTGTTGTAAAGGGCTCTTAAGGGATCATAAATTCGATACCAGAGGAAAAAAAAGTTAGTAAGTAAGAAATTGCATCTCATTAGATGCTATCCTGTATTAAGCTGCAAATCTGAAAGGTAAAGAGATCTCTATGCTTTCAACAATGTTGGAGGTTGTGTTGCAAGACCTGGATGGTGGACTTCCCCTAAAAATAATGGAAAGTACAGACTCTTCTGTTTCAAACTGCAGATCCATTACATTATTCTATTTGGATTTTCAGGTTTTATTCTCAAGCAGGCATAAGCTTCTTAGCTATTTTAAATTGTCCACATGACTATGGCTGAGTCACACTGTTTACATCTGAAAGCAGACTTAAAAAATTCTAGTTTACCATCACTCCCCTGAATTCCCTAAAGCCTCTAATTTGTGCCTGTTCATAACTAGGTTGTATACAAAAGTTTTACTGCTGCTTAGACAATGATGATAAAGTTAGTAGGTCAGAGAGAAATATTATCTTTAAAAGCCAAAAAATACTGAGTGTGTTTCTTCATACAGAAAAGTAGGAAGTAAATCAGTCAATTTAGACTGGGAGAAGTGACAGTGAAAAGATTGAAGTCAGATAATATTCAAACATAAACTCTCAACTCAATAACGCTCTACTTTTCTAATTTAGCACAACTCACTGAAAATACTAAAACACTACCTCATAACTATCATTCATCTGACACTGAGAAAAGGAAACAAGCAGGTAGAACAAGCGTATCAGGAAACGTTTTTATTAAATATGACAAAATGTATTAATATAGTTGAACCATGGTGCGCAGTTAATCCAGGCAGCAACAAAAGAGAGGTTTGCAAATAAATTAAACTGCGTAATTTATAAAGTAAAACTACAGAACAGAAGCCGGTAAACAAAATCCTATCTTTTAGAAATGTAGCAGACTTTCAACTTAATCTCAGTTAAGATTTTTAAATACATTCCTGAGCTTATATGGATTAAAGAAATTCCACAGTCTTCATTATACAAATTCCCATATGCTTAAAAATAGTCTACCTTAGAAAAGAAGCAGCATTCTAAAAGACGCTTCTTAATCTGTCATTTTCACACACTTATTTTACAAATTCAGTGAATATTGTTTTTCAAATAACCAGAACATCGTTCTTTCCTTCTCACAGATAATGCATGAATTCACTTTTAGCTGAGACAACCTCCTTAGAATCAGTTTGCAAAATGCATCTTCTCCATGTCCCTGCCACAATGTTCCCTTCCCAGTTTGCTTCCCCAGAGCCCAACACCAAAAAGGCTTATATGTCCGGATGCAATTTTATGCATTTCTGAAGTTCTAGAAAGAGGGAACACAAGTCTAAGAAAAAAAAAAAAAAAAAAAAAAAGCCAAACCCAAACACCCACTCCTCACCCCCACAAAAAACCTAAAGTAGTGTTGACTCCACAACAAAACACTAATTAATTTACTGGGGGAAAAAAAAAATCGTTCTAATAGCACAACAATATCAATTAAAGCACTATTCAAGGAAGATACTGACAAGAATATTAAATTAGTGCAGCAAAGATGTCTTACTTTTACAAGTATCCTGGCTTTGAAGTCTTGTGCTCCTGGGAGAAGGCTAAAACCATAGCTAGAATACACATTCACTAGGGCAAGAAAGAAGAGGGACAATATTGCAGCACTAAAAATGAGGTTTCCAGAGATCTAGCTATCTCACTGGAATTTAATGATTGCAAAGATATAAAAATCTGAGAGGGAGAATGGTGTGAGGATAACTACCAAGATGTCCTAATTGTTGGGCTGTACATCACTATGTTCTCAGAGAAAAAAAAAACAAAACTAAAAAGAATTAACAAATGAGGCACTAAAAAGCTGTAGGTCCAGCACTGCTTCTACCTGCTCGAATTTTTGCACCAAGCTCTTCATTAATTAATGGCATTAACTGGCTGTTAAGGGACCAGGAGCAAAATGCTAACTCACACAACCGTGGGTGAGGAAAGACAGAGGACAGGGAAACAATATAACACCTTGAATATTTCAGAGCTCAGCTACATGAAATCTTCACCTTCTTACTTCTCCTGCCTCAGTTCTGACTGCATTGATATTTAGCTCTGCGCAGGATTAGTCTGTGAAAGATGGAAAAGAATACATCTTGAATAAAATGCTACTTCATGTGACATTCAGACATTAAAGGAAAAAATCCTGCCACATTCTCCCGGAGATCTCAGTTTCTGCAGCTATTTCTCTTCTGACTTGTCAGTACTGTCATATAAATGAGTCAATAATGCAGTCAGTAACAATTAATGGGAGCAGCATTAACAATCTTTCAAACACTTAAACTCTTCCTGGTTTTTCAGGTGATGAGGAACTTAAATGGTGATCAGGATAATGAAAGAAAAACTTTTTACTGCTTCATGTCCCTAACATGCTTAAATATACAGATGGCTTTTGTTCCTAAGGGCTGCTGCCTAATATCAGTGAAATGCTGCAATGTCAAATTACCTTTAAAGAGGAAGGAGACATATTTGAAGAGCACTGTGAGTATGGCTTTACTGCCCGCAGACAGACACTGAAAGGGTTACATGAATGCACCTGCTAGGGAAAACACAGGAGAACAGAGACAAGCCACATTTTTCACCTTCCCACTATCATTCCTTATATTTATACGTAATCATTTACATACAGCCTTTCTCCTGCCGAATACAAACTGTTCATGGACTCTGACACCTTGATTATGGCAGCACCTGCTAGCTCATCTTCCATATACTGAAGAGTTTGTCAGTATTGCTAATGTAAACTCTGTTTATTCAGTAGCTGACAAGTGGGCTGTAAAAATTTGCAGCTGGCAGTTATTTGTCAAAGGAGGACTCAATCTGGGAGGGATTTTCCTTTTTATTAGTAGTATTTTATTAAATTTGGGTTAATTCTCTCTGATTGGTTTCAAGTTCTAGGAGTGAGAAATGAACATTTACAGACAATTAGGTCCCAAGCCAGCAGAAAAATTGCCTTGACGGCTGCTGGCCCATAGAAGCTCCACAGCTGCAGAGACTATTCCTTATGCTACAAACAGGAGAGGAAGGACATGCCTCCTCTTCTCCAACAGCTGCTAACTTCAACGTTAAGTATTCCCTTGTTGCTGCCTTCCTAGGAGCAGAGTGGCACAGCTCCAGCATCAGGAGTGAGCTAGGGAATGACACAGCAGCCTCCCTTTTCCCCAGTTATTATACAGGAATATTTTCCTATGACTAAACATCAACAAAGGAAGAAATTTAAGAAAGCAGCAACAATGCAAATAAACCTTCTACTACACCACAGACTGGTGAAATGAGGAGGAAAGGAAGAGTTACCCTTAATTCCAAAACATAAGAAAATAAAAAAGACACAGAGTCCTTTAAAAGGGATTGCACAGATGGAGTAGGCTGCAATCTACCACCTGTTACTCAGCCCGAGGGCAGTTCCAGCTCCTGGAGGTTGAGGAATTCAATTCCAGTAACAGAGAGCCAAGCAGGTGGACAGGGTATCACCGGTTCTCCTCTTGCTGTTCTCCTCACTCTGGAACAGCATTGCCACTTCTCACAGAAAGACTTCTGGCTTCTCTGACGATGTTTCCTTCAGAGCTTCATTAAATTTGTTTCTCAGTTTCTGGTGAAATAACTCCCCGTATTTTCATGAGATGAGCTGGGAGAGGAAAAGGAAAAATTGGATACAGTTTAGAACATATAAAGGTTTGTAATAGGAGAACTATATACATGCAGGGATGGTTTTCAGAAACTTCCTATAAGGGAATAGTGATTTTATTCTAAGGATGTACTTACAGTCACTATATGTAAAGAGAAATAGAACACAATCTGACAAACAAGCAAAAGCTTGCAGCCTTAAGATGCTTCTCAATTTATCACACCAAATTTTTCATCCTTGGAAGACACTTCTAACCATTAAAATACAGTCCAGCACTAGGACATTACACGTTACAGAAGCCTAGTGATAACATGATAAATCAGTATCATTCATCTCTCTGCTACACTCCTGTAACAGGCATCAATCTATGTAGAAACGTCCAATCTTTACAAAAAACCAACATGATTAAACCTCATCACTAATACTTTCCCTTAGGTAATTTACATTTTTGGTACACTGCAGCCAAAACTAACAGGAAAACACTCTTATTAGACAAATATTAGCAGATCAATGTAAAAACCAATCTACGGCATACTGTTTCACCAATCACATTCGCAGCAGCGCGGACTCTGCAAAAGGATTACAGTGAGATGCTTGAGGGCCTGGATTTCATACCTCAAACCAAACTGTTATCCAAATATTCAGAGTTTTCAGCAGAATTGAATCGTTTCTGGTTTTCAGATTCAGGGAGCTCCTCAAAGCTGTTATTTTTGCATGCAGTTGTAACACTGAGCCCTCCACACCTTCCAGGCTCCTCAGTATGCACCACAGCCACGGTGCTGCTGTTTCGATCCCCTGTTTCGTTTGTAATTTCACAGTCACTCTCTGAAGTTCCGTCTTTCAGGGCCTCAGTTTCAGCTGTTTGTTCGTTTTCTGAGTTCAAGGGATCTGTGGGGTCGGATGGGTCGGGGCTGGAAAGTGGCAACTCTCCCTCAGATGAACCATTAAGCTCTGCTCCAGCCACCGTGTTCTGCCCCCCTGCAGAAGCGCCTGCTCTTTTCCCTTCCAGTTCTGCAACTGCCTGCTCTGTCAGTTTAATTATCTGACTTCCAGGCGTGTTTATTTCTTCTTCCTTGGAAGGTAACTGGGGTAATGAAGGATAAAAATGTTTATTTTGGTTTCTGTTATTTAAGTTTGTTCCCTCTGGAGCCAGGGACTCACTTGCGACAGCACAAGTTTCATCACATTCTCCCTTCTGTTCTGCTGAAAGAGAAACGGAACAGTGAGATGCTCCAGTCAGTCACAGGTATTTATGATATATCTGACCCAAAGACCATCACCACCAGTGCCAGGCCACAGAGATGTTTTTACCTCAGTAAGGAATTTCTAAGCGTGATTGCCTATCCCATGCCAAGCCCGTTTCTTAGATGATAAGCAATCAACATGAAGTTTCTTGCTGGATCCGGCATGGTTTCAGAGCCTGTCTTTCCCCAACACTGACAACTCTGAGTGAGTCTCAGTTGATACCATACTGTAGAACAGCAGCGTCAGGCAAACTTTTTCAAAGGAGTATGAACTCTAAGCAAGGCACTCAGCTACAGAAATTTCTGGCACTGCCTAACGTTAATCCCCACATCACTACCACTTTCAGGGGTTAACACAAGCTCCATTTATTTGGAGCTTTTCACAGGCTTTCACCAAATAAGGAAGTTTCGTTATTGGTCCTGCAACATCTCCCCTAACATAAAAGATTATTCTAATTCGGGTAACAGCATAAAACAAAGAAGCAGTGGAAGAATTTTAAATATACCATTATACCAAAAGGCAAACACTGAACAAAGTCAGAATAGAGAAAACAGCAATGTGTAAACAAACAGCTTTGTGAAAGAGAGAATTTGTCCTCGTCTTAGTTAAGGACAAAAAGCCTCATTGAAAATAAGCTTGCGAAGTCAAGTAAGAAAAATTAGGAAATGCCAGAAGTATGGCTGCACTGGCAGCTTAAAATGACTCTTGTCGTGCATATATGTGCATTCCCTTTTAGTGTATAAGCATTTATTCTATTCCCGTAGGAATCCTGCCTCACACACTGCACAGGAGAGCCTGGCTGCAGGGACGGATCAGAGCCACACGATGCAGGAGCCTACAGTCTCTATCAATCAGATCCGCCTCATTTATGGTTTGGGAGCTGCTGAGTGAGTGAGACAAAGGTTGGCATGGAGGGAATAGACACTCTTACTATCATTAAGGAAGCTAGGAATGCTACTCTGAAGAGCTGGAATTTAAGTCTGTGGAAAAGGCAGGGATAAATTAACTTTCAAAAGATGATCACCCACTGGATCTAATCCTCATTATCTGAGCGCTCAGCTGGAAACCTAGGAGCTTGATCCTGCTCTGCTCACGTTGTATATCTGAACACACATACTCAAAGTGCTCCAAAAAGAGCCAGAACTTCTGTACCTCAAATTGGCACTTGAAATTAGCAGGGACTCTACCTTATTCTTTGCATGCTTCAGTTTCCTCCCTCTACAGTGGGATAACACCATCCCATCACCATGCTGCAATTTTCTGAAGACAAATTGTTTCAAAGCACTAGAATACCAGAGAAAAGTTCACAGAAAAACAGTGTTTTTGTCTTCAAGGAAGGCTTGAAATAGCGCACAGGCAATCGAGCAGGAACACACAGCCCTCAACAATGAAGGAGAAAAAGCCCTGAATAGCTGTTCATTAGCAGCTGTGATGCTCAAGTACAATCTATCCCATAACACTATCCATCCTGTGCATTGGATAAAGTGATTTTTGGTGGCACAAGACAGTCTTTAATTCATAGGACTGTACTATGTCATTATGCATTTTCACACAGGAGCTGCACAGCTTTCTACCATCCAGTTTAACTGAAACAATTATAACTACAGACAAAAACAGGCCTTGATGAGACCAGGGTAAGCAGATAGATTAGATAAAAGCAGCCTGAAAAAGCCCTCTGATTATCTGTAGATCTTGCTAGAGCAACATTTGATGTGTTATAGAACGTTCTGATAAAGAATGTATATTAGTGCAAAAGCTGAAAATGTTTCCTGGGCCAAACAGGCATCAAATATCAATGGTACTATTTAAAGGACCATAGCTGACCGACATGACACCAGGCCTACTATTTAAAGATAAGTAAGAATTTCATTGCTATTCTGCTTATCAACTGTTTTCACTCAACTGGTCATTCAACTAATAGGAAAATAAAAGTGGTTTTGTTTTTATTTCTGGAATACTTTTAAACCAAGGGCACACGTGCTTGGTAAACGAAGGCAAATGAACACTTTCCTATGTTCCTCCCAGTTGCCAAGCTCCCCCAGATTTTGGAGGTACACTGTATAGATGAAAATTTGCAATATGCACCAAGGTCCTAAAACTCAACAACTGACAGTCATTCTCTATGCAGAGTGGCACAAAGGCTGACTCAGTGTATCCCTCCCATATAGTTGCTGACTGCAGAGGAGCTGTGTGACTCCAAGCACAGGCACATGCCCTACAGCTGAAAACACACTGCTTCCTTTCCAGGCTTCAAAGGGAAGATCGCAGCCCCAAAAGTCCTCCAGAAAAAGGATCTGGAGCAATGGAAGAAGTTATGGTTGCTCCACCTACTGCTAGAAGCTATGGCATCCCCCCGCACAGCTGGTAGTATATGTGAGCTCATCTGTGTCACTGAAAAGCTGGTCCGGTTTATTTAAACCATCACAGAGGTGAGTTGTGTCCGAATTCTCATTGCAGGTTATCAGGTATAGTGAGCCACATGCAAAGGAATAAAACAAGCTGTTTGTGCAGGCAGAACAGTAGTTTCTTAACTTACTCATGACAGGATTTCTGTGATTGATCTTGGCTCTCTTACGGTTATAGGATGGGGAGGGGGAAAGAGGGTGTTGACCCACTGGGAGCAGATTCTTCTCATGACTGCCACAGGCCTAATCCTTGTCTGCCTTTTCTTCTCCAAGGCTGTTTTATTCTACTCCTCTCTTCCTCTGCCTAGCTCTTTGCTCCGGCCCTATATCCCTTTGTCTACCCAGCCCCTACACTCACTCTGTCCATTTCTCATCCACCTTTCAATCTTTTTTATGACACCTTGCTTTCACTGGCAGCATTTATATTCCTTGCTCCTGTGCTCTGACCTCTGCTCAGCCAGATACAAGTCCCCCCTCACTCAGACTTCCTTTGACTCTCAAAATCCCCCTCTACTCTAGTCTTCCCACCACTTGAGAGTCCTGATCCCAGCCTTCCTTTCCTCTCTGCTTTTTTCCCCTCTAGGTTTACGTTATCTTCAAGATACGGTGCACGCAGAGTTTTACTGGTGTTGGTGGCACAAAGCAAGCTCAACAGAATCACTGATTTGTTCTTTGTTGTTATTAGCAGATGAGATTTGGAAGTGAATGGTTTAGAATGGGGTGGAAACTCCAACCTGTTTTCTCAGGGTGGAAATTCCCCCCGATTTCAAATTCCTTTCAATTATAGGTATACTAAATGTTTGCCTGTTTAAAAAAAAAAAAAAAAAAAAGACAAAGAAAAAACCCCACAAAACAAAAAAACCCCGTGGTCATCAGAACTTAACACAAAAAAGTGATTTGGCTGACATTAAAAAAATCAGCTGAAGTAGAAAACATAGCATGGAAATCTTCAGCCCAGAGCTGAAGTTTGGCAGTGTTACGAAGCAACAGTAACAGGGTCTGATGAGATCTGACAGGCAGCTTTAACCAAAATTGTAATACCAACCTCACCTAGGTCAAACAGGTAAAGGAAAGAGCATAATGTCACCAAGTAAATACTTTCAGTAAATGCAGATTTAATTAAAAATCAATGATTAAGCAGGCAAAAAATTAATATTTATGAGTTACTATTACTCACCGGAGAACTATTTATTATAGTTTCACTTCTTATTTTTAGCAAAAATATCAGCTGATCAAGATTATAAAAAACTATCAGTCTGGCCGTCAAGTTTTATCAGATGATGACATGGATAATAAAGTAAAAATTAAGCCACAATTTATTTAGTTTCAGAACTAACAAATAATTTGTTTACGTTGCTTCATCGTTAGCTGAGTAAGATCTGGGCATACCAAAATGTTATGCCCATTAAAGAGCTTATCCAAATGCCGACAGGCAAGCATAATAATCCATCTCCCTTCCATTATGAAAAACTAAGGGAAAAAAAAAAATCAAGGTTATCAGCAAAACAATATTGTCTCCAACTGTCAAATAAAGTTAAGCTTGACTTTGGAGAGATGTTAAAGCTTGCTACCAGGGAAGGATTTTTAACAAAACACATGCAAGACTATAAAAAAAGCAGTCAATTTTTCTGGGAAAACGAGTCGGGTATTTCAATTTACTGGGTGCAATCAGGAAGCCTTTCATCTAGATATCAGCTATAATGCAGGAAAGTGCTAAGCCGGTTCCACAGACTGCTTTCCTACTGTGCATTTTAACCACAGGAAAAAGAGCAGGAGGCAGTTAACTGTAACATAGATGGCATGAATAACTTCTCACAGTATCAAGTTATCTGGCAGGAAAATTCTTTGAGGTGTAAGACCTGATCCCTGGCCCTGTGTAATCTATGCAACAGTCATTTTTCAGTCGTTTCTTTGCTATTTGTACTGGGACCATCTATCTATTTTAGTTGTGGATGATTTGTTCAATCTCTGTGACCACTGAAACTTTGCCTTCTGCTATCCCAGCATGAAAATTTATTACTTTTTATTTGGAAAGAAATGAGTGCTTGGCTCTCATCATGTTCCTTACGTTCCAGGTGCTCACCTTGTACTTCAGTTTTCTGTGGCTTATCAGTAAACGCTAACAACGGTGACCTGGACCGCTGTACAACAGGCAAGGTTGGGTCACTGAACGTTATGGTATCCTTTCCACCTGAAACAATCAAAGTGTTAGAACTATTAATTCACCAGTTACATCCATTGTGCACTAATGATATTCAAACATATCCTACAATTTTTTTGCAATGTTATTGAAAAGTACAGAACAGGAAAAGCATCTCAAATGATCCTTTTACCACATGGGAAAAAATACTCTGTACTGTAGCTGTACTGAGTAAAGGACAGATTTTGAAAGAAGACCAGGTGCTGTATGCAGCAAACTGTATTAGCAATTAGCATTCAATTCAGAACGTTAATAATCAGACCAAAAGTTTTACAAAGAGTAATGGATCATTTGCATGCTATTAACCAGCAAGTGTTCAATACGGACTCTCTACTCCCTATTACTCTGCCTCAGTGATGAACCTGCTCATATCTCATATGTAAGTTTATACTACAGAATCACACACATACTATCCTACAACGCTCCCTTAAAAAAAAAAAAAAAATCGCAAAAGCTTAGCATAGCTAAGAACTGAGGGTGCAAACAAGCATACATTGCTGGGGAACAGGAGGGATTTTAATCCGAAAATTCGAAAAACATTTCTGAGCATTTTCGCTCTAAGAAAATGGAAAAAGGCAATTTTCCAGCTCTTTTTCAGACAAAATAGTGCAAGAAACTCTTCAGCTGAGGACTCTGCTGAGGATGCCTAGTCCTTACATATTTTAGCAATACAGAAAGCAACACCTGCAGATCCTTTAGGAAGTCCTCCACTATTCAGGATGCTCATGTTTTTAGTGACTGACACTACCTTAATCCCAGAGGGGAAATGGCAGGAAATGTGCAAGATCAGCTAAGCGTGGTATTTGTGTGGCCTCCAGAACAACTGCCAAGCGGTAAGTAATGGCTGGGGAGGCGGCAAGCTACTGTTCTATTTATCTCCATAAGAACGGACGTGTGTGTAACTACCACTTCTCCCCTCTAAATCTGTTTGTACGTTTCACCTTAAGGCAACATCCTAAATCTAATCACCCATCCAAGACAAAGACTTTCAAAAGAGCACCAGGTCAGGAGATACCCGGAATAAATCCAGCTCTGCGAAAGTTCTGGTACCTACTGAGAAATAATGAACCTCAAGCTGTTTCCATGGAGGCTACCTGGACTACCCCAATCCCTAACTACTTTTGAAAGCACTGGCTGTAAATGCCTTGATCCTGAAGGTATTAATGACACTTTTATATCCTTAACGTATTAGGGTATATACTGCAGCAATATGAATGCAATTAATGCTTTCAAAATATGGATCTTGCCAAGCTTTGATCCCCCTGTCAAGTATACATCAGAATTCTGCCCTCACTATAGCAAATAATAAAAAAATAGTATTAACTAACAGCAGAGAGCCCCCCCACAGTGTAAGGCAAAATTAATTAAAATAAAAAAAAAAAGGCAAAATAAATCTGATGGCTATTTCAAAATGCAAAAGTCCCTGGAAGAATGCACTTTCCTTTAACAGCGAAGGACTTTTGCGTTGGAAGAAAAACTAAATCATACAGGGAACTAGAAGTATGAAAACATCTGATAGATATTCATACACAGTCAAAAGTAGCCACATACCCAAAAAGATATAAAAGAATCCAACGGAAGAAGTAAAATGAAAAAAGGTGATGAATAAAGAAGCGGGGGGGGGGGGCTTGGCCAGGAAAGAAAAAAGCGGAATTGTTTTCCTTTTTTTTTTTTTTTTTTTTTAAATAAAAAAAGTAAAGTCTGAGCTAAAGTCCCTGCATATGCAAGACAAGCTTCAAAAAATAAACTTCTTGATTTCCAGCCAGCATTTACACAGTAACATATTCACTTTCACATTTTTCTCTGAAAACCAACCTGGTTACAGAAAATAGAGCTAAGCTCAGTATCCACACATCTAAGCAACAGATGTGGCCCAAAGAACCCGATGCATATTTATTTAATAACAGTGACTCACATCGATTCATGAAGAAGGGACATGGGGGTATTGCTGCACTACATTCTGTGAATCATGATCTAAAGTTGGATTACACACAGGGAATTTCAATTAGCTGCTGTGTAAGCTCAATTTTATAATTTATATAGCTTTGTGTTCCTCTATTTAATGAATTTTTCAAGGACTTTAGTGAAAAATATACAGATCTCAAAATAAGCAGACAAGTTTTCAGTAGTAGTAAATTGTTCATTTTCTTCTCCAGGGTTGGACATCCTCTTATAACCTCTGCTGCACCCTACACCACTATAACTGGCTATACCCCCAGCAGCTGCTGAGTCCATTAATTCTACCTCGTCTCTGCTCCACGCTGACTACTGCAGAGCAAGAGGCAGCACTGAAAATTTCTTATCATCCCAGACAGAAAAAGGCTAAGTCATGATCAGCTTTTTTCCTAGGCTTTTTTCAGTGGAAATCTGGAATTTTCAGGAAATGATAGATTCTAAAAAAATACAGAATTACTTATCTGAAATGTCTAGTGACATCAAATTGTGAGAGGAATAAGGTGCTGTTTACTATATACTATTACTGAATACACTTGTTATACATGCATAGTTGAACCACAACATACCTAAGACAAAGCAAAGAATTCAATACTGCTGCAAACATCACATTCTCTGTTCCCTTCTCAAGGCAAGTGGGCTCATAAAAAGAAAATCAAGAGCCAAATCTATGCCCAAGCTTGCTTTCTTTTCAGCGATGAACCTCTCAAGAGATGAATTTAATTAAAGCCCATTTTCCAAACAGGAGAAGCTAGTTTATGGTAGGCAGAACTTCTACAGAAAATGAACTGTACTACCAGTTTCACCATGTCAAAAATTAAATATGCACTTCCTCTTGATTTAGCTACCCCATAGTTCATTCATGCACTGCTCAAAAAGCAGGTGACATATGTCACCTAACAAAAAATCAGAAGCGGTCAAGCTTGTTCTTCAATAGGATAAAGTTTATTAACATTTATTAACACCATTTGGAAGATATTAATATCACAGTGACAGCGTATGTTATAAATGTGTATGGACAATGATGCCTAAATAGGAACATTAACTTCAGATTAAAAATCTCCAATTTATAATGTGCGTTTCTTTCAGTGCTACACTGAACATCAGCTTTCATCTGTGTATTTTTTCCAGTGACAAAAAAGTTCAACTTGCAACTTTTTTCTCTCTGGATTTAAGACTGACTAGATGAGATACTCTCCATGTTCTGCCCCTCACCTGAGCCAACATTCAGCTGCAGAGTCCACTGTGGTAGTTCCCACACTATTTGTTACATGCTGCTGTTTTATGGAGCGAAAGCTTTCCACGCTCTGAAAAGAAAATTGGTGACCCACCAGGGCTCTTTCTGGTGACCTTGGGACTAGAGTGCACTTGGAAATAAAAGTGCACTCTTGATTTAAAAGGGAAGCAGCAAATCAACAAACCTTGGGGCTCAACAGAACTCACAATCCAGTGTAAAATTCCTTTACAACTATTTTAGATCATCCTTTCTTACTATTTTCCTCAATTTAAAGGAATTGTCTCATAGAGCAGTCTCTGTTTCTCTTGTGGTCATCTAACTCACTTGACTGAACATCTCAATCTGCCAGATATAAAAATGTTCAGATAACATTTCCATTTATTTACATGCAGTGACAATATTTAATGTACTGCTAAAATCAGTTACTAAAAATATACATCAAGCAGAACCTACTCCCAAATCCCACTGAGACATTGTAGCTCAGGCCTTCAGGCAGCAGAAGAAAGGAAGGAAAGAGACAGTTGTTATTGTATAAACATTAATTTGATGTCTTACCTACATAGATCAACAATGGTACAAGAAGTTCCCACTGTTCCATTTTTTTAAATACATTTTGCAAAGATTAGAAACTCTGCATTTATTAGTGTATGAATTTCATGGAACACTATTTTTGAAAAAAAACCAAAAAACCAAAACAACTACAGTACCTTAAAGAAGTGAGTTTATGATACACATTTTACTAACGTACAAAACCAGTTTAGAAGAATGTAGAACCACATTTGTCTTAGACAAATATTTCACCTGCATCTTTTGAAGAATGTGGGGAGGGACAAATGCACCAAGTACACTGTGTATGTTAGGTGACTAACTGAAGAGTAATCCATGGAAACAAATTTGGGACCTTCAGTTCTGGAAAGCATCAGCAAGAGAGCCAGTTCCAGAAAGTTGATTGAGAATGCCTACAACGGGCAAGCTAAAATGGAAATAGCCCACATCAGGCCACATGGTTGAACAGCATAAGTATGTCACAAGGTCTCTTCAGCTTTGTCAGATGTTTTCTTCTAGATGGAAAGGTTAGGTGGAAAACACACAGAGCCAAAAAACTAGAAGCCTAAACCACACTATCTCCCACCCGCAGTAGCACTGATAGGAAGCTGTAAGCAACAAAGCTTAATGATGCGAATGCCAACAATGGAGTAGCATAATTTACAGTGGTTAAAGACGACACAATTAGGTGTAATGCGAAGAAAAGAAGCAAAATGTAACTGTAAATTAAATATTGCAAATTTTTCTAACAGTGATGTCTGTTAGGAAGCAGATTAATCTCCCATTACTTGAGTAATTCAAAAACCAAATACAATACTTAAGATGCTACAGGGAATAAGCCTGTTCTGGAGACATGGACTAGAAAATTTAAGATCATTTACATTTCCAATTTCTCAGAGTTTATGATTCTACAGAAAAACATTAAAAATACAGTGATAAAATCCATTTAAGTTACAAGAAGTACAAAATTAATAAATAAAATTTGCTGAAAAACATAATGGCCAATATCTTATGTATAATTTTATGCAACTTTTTAATTAAAATAGTTCAATTTTTTTTGCCTGCAGACTATGGAGACAATTTGATTATTTCTAGTATTTAAAACTTCTTTTTTTCCCAGTATATATATTTAACTTAGCATTTAAAGAGTCTAGTGATTTTTTATTTCAACTTAACGTTTATTAGAGGTTTCTAATTTTGCAAATGTGCTGAATGGCATATTTGCAAAATAACTGTCATTAAAAAAATTATAGTCAGGCTTTTCTTAAATGTAAATATACCCTCGAAAACTAAATAATGCAAGCTCTTCTCTTGAGTTTTTACTAACCTGGAAGACTCCATAGGCCAGCAATTTCCAAAGTTCTTAATTTCTTTTCTAGTTCTGCCACTCGATTACCTAGAATTCTTTGGAAAAAGAAAACAAAAACAGAAGCCAGGAAGAGTCAGCTGAGATGAGATTCCTTGTTATACTAAGGTAACCAAAGCCCCATTGCTTACATGACAAGAGTTGAATTTTTAACTTGTTACTTAGCTAGTGCAGTAAACCTGTATACGGTCATCTCTTTTCACGAATGGCAATGGACAACCTCCTCCACAGTTATAGGAAAATGACACATAGTTGTCTAATCTATCCCATGGTTTTAAACAAACAAGCAAACAAACAAAAAAGTCTAGGATGTACTGGACATTAAACCTTTGCCCTTTGGTAAAGACAAAGAATAGCAACTCATAATATTTCTATTTCCTTGCCCACAAATATCTCTTCCCAGTTACTTTTACTTTCTCTACAGCTAAAGCTAGAAGGTAAAAGCTAGGCAGACAAAATATGGAAAACTCAAGACAGCATCTAGATTGATTTTGCAGTTCTAAGACACAATTCTGGCCTAGTCCATCATTCACACAGGTTTCTCTATCACTAAGATTGTTTCAAATGGCAAGGAATATCTTTTTACACTACGCCTTTTCTTTTAGCGCTGAACTCTCTTTTCTACTTTACTAAAAAGCCTCAAGCTCTTTAGTGCCTTTATCACCCAACTCTTAGCTTTCACAGCATTCCTTGGGCCATTTCTTCTTTTGCATCTGATTCCCACTCAAATACTATTTGCAGTTAGCTCTCCTGCAGGATTTAACTTTGTCTTAATTCTCTCCCAAGATCAAATGAGAGATTTCTACCTTGCAAGGAGCGCTCTTTTTCCAATGAATTCTTCAAAGTGTTTCTCTCACAGGCACAGCAAGTCTCCTAGAGTTAAAAGTCTTTAAATAAATCCCAAACAATGCTCAACGGAGTGGGAAACTTAAACAGGGCAGCAATTCTAAACATGACAGCAGAGATAATGGACAGCAAGTTTTAGTCATCGAATTACAGCAACGGGATAAGTTAGTTTAAGTTTGAACTGAATGCTGAGAAGCAACATATCACAACACAGCAAGGCAACAGTATCTTCCCACGCTCATGAGAGCTGCGTAATACTGCACTGCATGCTCTCCAGCGAGGGTTTTATGCTGCAGACATTTGAGCATACTAGGAATGTCGTTACTGACAAGATGGCAGAATCTAGGAAGGATGTGAAGAATAGCAAGCCCAGCAAATACCAAAGGGACTAGAAAAATTGATTAACAAGGACTAAGTATTTTTTAAATCTCTGATGTGGCCAATGATTGTCACCACAAACGGGTCACAAAAAAAGAAAAAAATCCTTATTATTTTCATAACTAGTTCACCAGTAGTTCCAGGGCAGACAAGGGGAAAGATACTGCCCTCCCTGTCGGCTAGCTGTATCATAGAAGGAAACTCAACCCTCTGCATTAAGTTCAGTTATTGCAACTGCTCTTGTTATTCAGACAACAATAGCAAAGTCACTTTTCTCTTACTTCTCTTAAATTTTATAATTAATCAGCTGTACCACACTATTTCTAAAGGTTTTGGAGCAAATCTATCCTGGTAATTCCTATTGGATCCTCAGAAGAGGCACTGAGCTATTTTTTAATTTTGCTGCAGGTTCTCACATAGAAGGATCATTCTGTGGCTCTGAACAACGGTTGGCAAAAAGAGAGAACAATACTTAAGCCTGCTCCTTTCAATCAGCAAGACAGCAAAATACATTCAGTGATGAGTATGACTCTAGTTTGCTCCAAACCACATTATCTGAAGACAGGTATGGGAGAAATGACCCCTACACAAAGCTGTGAGTTCTTATAGAAACATTTTTTTGAAAAATAAATGTGTAAGCAATCCTGAACACAGCATGGTTTACCCTATTCCTTCCTCTCCCTTGTGACCTCCAGATAATCTGCCACCTCTGTATGTGCTGTGGAAAGACTGAGCTGTGGCGGCCTGGAACAGTAGGTATTTTTAAAGGGGCTGCATGGGTTGGTAGCATCAAATTCCCTAATCTATTTTTTTATCTCTAGTCATAGTGGACCAGATCCTTTGACAAAAACAGAAGGATCATGTCATAGACAAAGGTGCTGACAGCTGTTTCTGTTGTCCTCTGGTCATGAGTCTAATGCAACAAGGGAGTTAGTCTAAACCTCCCTCTGGGATAAGGTTTTACAGAAATCTGTTGTTCACGTAACAGTGGCAATGCTGCCCCCTGAATTTAGAAGCTCCCTCTGGCTCTCCCATGCTTCCCAACATACATGGCCATAATCCGAAGGGAGCTGTGCTGATTTACAGCACCTGAGCTCCATTCACCTCACTTTCAATTGAGATCTCGCTACAGAAGACATATACCCTCACACAAATACAATCACCCAAATGTCTGCAAATAGGGTCTGTCACAGTCACATACCTAGTTCTGTACATCACATGGAAACATTTACTCAGTTACAGACTGACACAATGCTTTTAGTAATTTTGGTCATGACCGAGCTTGCCCAAGTTAGAAATGTTAAAATTAGTGCAACATGTCTAAGCAGCAGAGCAGCTTCTATGCTCATCCGGCTTGCATGGGTACTGGCAATTTCAGGAACAAATTGCACTAACAAGAACATCTAATAAATGGTTTATTGCTGGCAGAAGAAAAAAAGATTTTTATCCACTTGCTAGGCAGGGTTAGGACTGTTTATTTTTGCATTTCTGTAACTATTTAATCTTGCAACACGTTACCGCATACAGAATTCATTTACAACTGCCTTTTCAAATTAACCTTATGTGCTTGTGAGGAAAAACACAGGATGTTACTTAAACTTAGCAGTAGTAGCTACCAATCACCTGGGGAAAATCACCTGTTTTCTTCCCAAACAAGTTCTTTTTTTCTTAAAAGTCGGGCAAAAAAAATAAAGGCTGGATTTAGCCTACTCATTCCTAGGCACATATTCCCACAGTTCCTTTTATCATGCCACATACTTAGAAAAGCAGCAATAATAGTGTGTCTGTTCCAGGAGCAAGTGGCAATGGATGTTTTTAACAACAGTATAACAGCAGAAAGTCAACTTCAACTGCACACACAAATTCTAATCTATGTAAAAGAATTGACTGTCTTGTTATTGTTTCAGTCAATCAGAAAGCAAATCTACCATTCTGCTACTGTAAACTTATATAGCCATATCTCAATCTGCAAGCCACAAAAAAACTTTAGAGTAGGTTAACCATTTGGAGGAAAGTAAGTTCATATGGTCTGAAAAGTCTCACTTACTGATAACAGAATCAGTAATAGGTCAATCATCTACCAAATATCAAAAGCAGAACTTCCCTGAATAAAACCACCACCCCAAAATCTCACATTCTTTACTCAGTAATTCTCACTTTCTTCACACATCTCAAAAAGTGTATCCTCCAAACATGTTCTTTGTTCAGGGAAAGCCAGGCAAACAGAACAGAGGGTGAAGAAGACTTCTACCTTCTGATTTATGTAAAACCTTTTGTCGTTACCATTCTCTCTAACACCACAACCTTCTCAACTTCCTACTTTGAATGGAGAAATGTCTTCAACAAAAGAATGCATTTTCTACCAGTACCAGTTTATGGACCTGTCCGTGCACTGACCTCACTCTCGACTCTAACCTTCTCCAATAGGTGGGCAGTTTCTTCCCCATTTTCAGAAGTCAGCAGTCTTTACTTGTAGCTTTTTACATGGCAAGCAAGTGCCCCCAACAACCAGCTAATGCACCTCAAATAAAGGATGTTTTTCCCCCCGATGTCCTACCTGCATTTCCCTTTTTCACTTTAACTCTTTCGAGTCTTAGGCATTTCTACTTGAAGTAGCTCCCATTCCTCCTAGCTCTTTAAAAGCTTCTTTAATCCAACTAAAGCGGAAGGTGACAAAAAGAATGAGCATACCATATAGGAGTGTCGCTGAGGCTCTTCACTCAACTTGTCCAGGATTTATCTTTCTTTTTTTTCCCTGGAAGCAGCCTGAACTGAATACAACACTACAGTTCTGAGCACACTCCTGACCTGGGAGAGACGTGGGCTGTCACCTCTCTCTAAGACCTGATTTTCTACTGGGCATAGAATACTAGTTTGTGCATGCATCCAATCTCTACTCCTATGGCTAGGTAGGACCAGCTGGGCATGCAGATAAAAGAATCCTATCTCCTTGCGAAGGCTTAACACAAGAAAACCCATACTCAATAGTTGAATGCAGAGACAGTGGTATCGGAAAGTAAAGTCATCATCACAATGATACACCTGAGAGATGAAAGAGACTGCACGTCATCAAAGAAAGATAGAAAATTAAGAAAGAAGTTTGCTACAGTTATATGCAAGAGTATGCAAACTAGAACACCAGGTAATGATACAGTATCAGGATGTAAAAGGCAAAGGCTGGTTATATCTGGAATAACAAAAGTTACTCTCTGGATGTTTTCCTTCTGATGCTACATTAGCAGTACAAAGGGAGTAAGCAGGTGTTAGCCCTTCATTAGCACTGCTCAGTGCAGGAACTCCTCTGGCACTACATGACAGGGACATGAATTTAACTGAGCTGCCAACAGTTAGATCTAGGCTACATTTTCACCACTTTAGTCTCCCTTTAGCTGATTAGGCATTTGCTTTCTCAAGGGTATTAAGAGTGGCTATAAGCTGATCCTCCACTTCTGTTGCCACATCACTAAGAATTATGCAACGGAGTCTGCCTCGTATCACAGTTATCAATTTTCAAAATGAATCATCTATTCTAGTGCAATACAGTTGACTTCAGTACCACTCCTTCCTTTCATAAAAGATGTCTGCCTGTTTCTGGCATCTGGTCCTGATGTGCTTTTGAGAAGCCTGAATAACCTCTGATTACCAGTAGTGACTCAGTGTTTAAAAAAAAAAAAAAAAAAGGAAAAAAACTGAGCACAGAATCAAGGAACACCTCCTAGCTCTGATTGTCATACACTGTATAAGGACAATAATATCAGAATGTCAGAAAATGTGTCAAAAATGATTACATTCTGCCATGATAGGGGCTGTGCAAGACACAAAGAATTCTACTGATGAGTAGAACAGCTAAGAGTAAACAAATTCTCCTTGAAAGTTCAGTTCAGATTTTTAAAAAAATCATACAGTAGCAATTCAACTGTTTATCTCTTACAACTTTTGGCGAAGTAACTATAGGAGCAACAGCTACCATTTGTACGACGCATAGGCTGCTAAGCCTGTGACAAGTGTTACACCAAATCTTTTCAGATCCTTTCCTAGGTGCAACATTTACTATGCCCACCAGTGTTTGTTAGCAAATTCCTACATTAACGATCAATTATCACACATGTTCTCTTCCAGTTAAAGGGTGTCCTTTCTCCCGGCAGCTTTTCTTCAGCCCTCCCTACAGACTACCTGCTAGAAGTCCCTCCTGTGTTATTATGGTTTGTCTTAAATCTGAGCAGCAAATCAATCCTTGCCTAGCAGATGCAGACAGGACTCTGTCAAACCCAGGTTTTACTTTAAAAATGTAATTTTTCTCTAAACACATACCTGATCTTAAAAACTAAATAACCCACCAGTTAACAATGACAATGAATTTTCTGTGAAAACGGACTTTCCTTCCCATGTCCCTGGAACTCCCCCAAAACTATGACTTTTCCATAGCTTGCTAAGTTCTATTTTACTTAGAAGTCATGCTACCTACTTGTTGGTTTGCCTTTGGTGTTGTATGACCATGTTTTTTTCATGGATAGTTTCCAGCAATGCAGTGGCCAGTGATTTGAGATCTGAAATGGACTGTGGAGTGGCTGGTAGGCTACATCCATGATCCTCCGACAACAATTCTTGGACTATAATGTTAAAAACACAAATGAGTTTCGGCTTCTCATGCACAGAGATGTGACACAAACATCTACTTAGCATTAAAGAACTATTCTTGTTACTTAAGTAAATACATATTTTTTTCCTTCAACTAAGAAATAAAGCCAGAAGACCAGAAATATAACCCCTAGCTGGCATAAAGATGGTGGCTTTCTAAGCTGATCATTATTCCACAGCAATTGCCAGAACAAGTATAGGCAGGCACATTTTATGTTAACTTAATTCTGCTTTTGGAAAATTATTTTTGTTCAGAAGGAAAGAAACTCATTCTTCTACAGGCCTACAGATTGGTAAATCCACAAGGAAGCTTTTATATTACTTTTTAGAATTATTATATTCTTCAGGTTATTTAAGACTGATGTGAAAATACAGTCACCCATGAACTCTTCCTCTGCAGCTTAGAACATGTACCTCTCAACACATCAGGAAGTTCACTAGTACCATTAACTTCTGGAACTAGAATCTGGCTCTGCCTCTTTATTTTTTTTTTTTTATATATATATCTCTCTATAATGTACTTGCATACATATATATAATGTATATATCTATAATGTACTTGCATATTATATATAATGTATGCAAGTACATGGAGAAAAGGATGGAAGACAAGTCAAAAACAGAAACACGAGTTTTGACCTACTGTGACAAATATTACTGATCTCATGTGTGTGTATGAATACACCAACATCTAAATGGTAGGGTTCCAGGTATACTGTTTGGCTGAAAGAATTTTATCTTCCCCTTTCTTTCCTAATCTTGTTATATTCTTTGAAGGGGGAAAAAAAGAGATTACACCATTTTGCTACCCATGAAGAAACATGGGACAAAAGGATTTCTTGCAAAACATTTGAATGTAAAAGCTTCCAAGAACAGTAGTAGAAAACCTGACTTAGTGTCCCTCTTCTACCACCCTATTTTTCATTGGAATATGAATTGTGGTTGCTATTGTTAGCAGAGCAAAGAGATGAATAAAGAAATTATTTGTCAGGTTCAAAATTGCAAAGGTGTTTAGTGATTTTAAAAAAAAGATAAAAATGACAGGGGAGAGAATGAACGGCAACAGGGTAACAAAAGGATAAGCAGTACTCAAGAGGCAAATTTTATATTGTCAAGTCAACTGAAAAGGACAAAAATTGGCACATGATAATAAACAGGAAAGAGAAGAAAGATTTTGGTTTGGTTGGTGAGGAACGGGTTACTGAAATTAAGAGGTAAAATGGAAGGAATTCAATGAGATATGCAACACCATGCTGCATTTATGTAATACCTTGTTTTGCAGACAGGACTCCAGTCAGAGCACTGCTACTGGATCTACTATGAGTCTTTGAATTTTTTCGTCTCTCTAGTGCATTCTAAGAAAACAACAAATATCTTATTTAGAAAAACAGTAGCCAACAAATCCTTTCATTAGGACTAAAGAATCTGGGACTTTGGATTTTGGTCTCAGAACAACTCTGCAGAGCCTGGAGCTTACATCCATAGTAACCTATGGGAGTGTGACTCTCCTGGAGTATAATTCTCCAGCCAAAGCAGTCTTTGCTATGTTATGAAGACTCGTTCTGTCTCACTGCAATCACTTTATTCTATTCTCTCCCACTGACTCCCCCAATGCATTTTTAAGACTTGCCTATTCTTTAATAATCTGCTGAGTGCCAGTGAAGATACTCCAGTATCCTGTAGAGAATATCAGTTGGGAACAAAAATCAGACTTTCCCCAGCATTTCTCTGAATAGGCTTCAAAGGGAAAGCTCAAACTCCTCTATCAGAGTTTCTAGAAGCCCTGTTAGTAGCAAATACCGACTTTCACGAATTAGCAGCAGAATGATCCTGCTACAGAAGTCCAGCTCTTCCAAAATAATTACAGTTCTGTGAAACCCACCAGACCACCAAGATGCTCAGTTCTCACCAATAAACTAACTCACACTCTGAGAGACCCAGGTTGTAAGTGTGAATAGACACTGAAATGAACTTCGGACTTTGAGGAGCTTTGCTCATGCACAAAAAGCAATTAGTGCTGTCACTGCTTCACAGTGACCTAAATAGTTAAGAAGTCCTATTGACAGTCATAAGGCAACCCTTGTCATGCCCTGACAGCAGCCCTCCCCTCCCACATCCCAAAAATCACTTGCAGAAGAAAATGGAGTGCTTGACTTCAGGGAAGAGCAAGAATATTTTGCCCTCAGGATTCAGTCATGAAGGTTTCATGCAAAACAGCACATATCTTAACCCAAGAATGGAAGAACAATGAAGACTTCGCAATCATTAAGGCACATGAAGAAAGGGAACAGGGAGACAAGACCTGCTTGTAACAGCAACACAGGTGTCACCTGCTAATTTTCACCAACCAGCAGGCTGGGAAGCTGATCATCCTCCCCAACAGAAGGTTCCCCCACAGAACTTAAAAAAAGGTATTTAATTGATTTTTCAAAATATTCTTAATGGATACCCCTTTGTACTACATCAGCTAAGAAGCCTACAAGGAAGACTGAGCACGTAATATGTATACATACTAATATTGTCAAAATGTTAATGGTGGATTTTCCTTTGAAGACACCATTTTGTTCTTTAAATGCATATGAACATGAGAATGAACAATAACCTCCATGAGCAACAAAACACAGTTTAGATGATACAGTGAGAGGATCTTACCTTATATTTAGTAATAGTAGACTTAAGAAGGTTGACTTCCTCTTGAAGTTGTTTTAATCTCTCTTGAAGATACCTGAAAAAGAAACGTAATCCATTACCTCATGTTACCTTCAAGTACTGCCTCAAGTGCTCCTCTTTACTATTTAGCATGTCATCTCTTTGAACTACTAAGAGTTCTTTTCCCTCTGCAGTTTTGTCAGGGGTAAAATAACAAAATCTTACTGCTCTTGACCCCATAAAACTTTAAGTAGGGAAACAAATTGCATCAGAAAAGGAGGCTGCCCTTCTGTTAGATTTGTCAAGCATGCTGCACAACCATTTTATATCACTCCTCAGGTTTTTTGGGAGGGAAGCTAAAAGGATATATTTACATCTAGAGGAAATAGTCAGGAAGCATTTACTCATGTCCTCCGTACTTGAAGCTCTGTGAGATGGACACATGAAGATTTGTATATATGTCAACAGAAGACTCAACTAAGCAGAATTTTTGCATTGCAATATCCATCACTTACATGGCACTTCTCATTAGTAATCACAAAGTAGAAAATTTAACAGTACAGTTGAAAAATGGTATACAGTTAACTACAACAGTACAGTTCTTCCTAACAGAGTTTATGCACTTGGATTAGATGGCTATTTCCACATAGGAATATATCTTTTTCGTTTATAAAAGGTTTATAAAATACCCTCTTTCATATAGTGTAACCGCAGCTGTATTTGGGTTTGTGAAAATTTAACTATTTTAGAGAAAAAAAATCGTATCACTGTCAGGAGAGCAGGGGACATAAATTGACACAGTACTCTGTAGGCCATGCGAAACAGAAAAAAACCCCTGGAGTTGCTGGGAGGAGGTAATGCCTTTGTTACTACACTTTCCTACCTGAAGCATAAGTCTCTGAAAATGGAAAGTGTCTTACAAGATCTATTTCACTTTAAGGTAATTGTTGACATTAAGGGAGGTACCTGCTATGGCTCTGTCAGTGACTCCTCTCTGTCGTCCTTAGCAGAAACCATTAAACACATTCTTTTCCCAAGGCAGTGGCAAGAAAATCTACACAGGTGATTTCACCAGCAACTTTTGCTGGCAAATCACCCCATGTTGACAACCTCGTTCTGTGGTGAGAATTATGTCCAAAACGGTTAACTCAGGGTACTCAAAGTCCCTGTTTCCAATCCAAGATTAGCCCATTACAGCTCACTATGAGTTTCTGAAGACACCAATTTTTAATATTCTTGCTTTTGGTGCCATACAGTGATGGGGGTAAGAAGTTCTGCACTTCCCTTCCTTTTCCTCATTTAGCTCTATTTGGGAATATCACTGACATCTCTGTAGCCAAATAAAACACTGGTAATTTCCTGCAGCCTAACTTTCTCAATATTATTTGATGGTTAGCTACAGTACAAACAAAGCAGACAAAACAAATTACCAAAATATTTTAACTCCTATTCTTGGATACATTTTCTTTAAAGTTTTGTTGTAACTGACTTCCGGGAGCTCCTGTTAAAGCAATAAAGCTTGTTCTCGGGAAACAGTAAGGTTTGCAATGCACTCACCCGTTCTCCATACACAGAGCATCTACATCGATGATACGGTTTTCATGTCCTCCTAAGACATGATTAAGTTCTTGGTTTAGTCTGTCAGACTTATCTTGGTAAAAAGAGCGCTCCTCTTTCACATCCTGTAACTCATCCAGTGCAGCCTGTAGATCGTATCTCAGAGTCTCGATCTGAGAAGAAAGGAGAGCTGTATGACTATTTTTAAGTTTAATCAAAAGATTACATAGCACCCAAACTGAAAACAGCACGAAGCACTGCATAAAGTGATAGAATCTCTGGGTTGGAAGGGACCTTTAAAGGTCACCTAGTGCAAAACCCCTGCAATGAGCAGCGACAGCTTCAACACAACCACAGTGCTCAGAGCCCCATCCAACCTGACCTTCAATGTTTCCAGCAATGGGGTATCTACCACCTCTCTGGGCAACCTGTGCCAGTAGTTCACCACACTCACCGTGAAACATTTCTGCCTTCTAGTCAAAATCTACACTCTTAGTTTAAAACCATTACCCCTTGTCCTATCACAACAGGCCCTGCTAAAAAGTCTCTCCCCATCTTTCCTATAAGTCCCCTTTAAGTACTGGAAGGCTGCAATAAGGTCTCCCCGGAGTCTTCTCTTCTCCAGGCTAAACCACCTCAACTCTCTCAGCCTTGCTTCATAGGAGAGGTGTTCCATCCCTCTGATAATTTCTGTGGCCCTCCTCTGGATCCTCTCCAACAGGTCCATGTCTGAACAAGATGGATTTCGGACAGTCAAAAATCTTTCCAAGGCTCATAGTGCCTGGTACTTTTAATCTATTTTGGTATTATTTCATTAATTTGAAGTTAAGTAACTTTAGCAGGTATGACTTGTTTTACAAAATTTCTAGAAAACAACTAAAATGTAACAGCAAGAGAAACTTTTACCCATACTACAATTCTGCTACAAACATTAAGCTGTTTTTAGCACGTAATTTCTACGACTCCAGGAATGAACTCAACTGAATAAGAGTTTGGCAAATTTGGAGGATGAAGTGAAAATCTGTAAAGGGAAATATACACCAATAATGGGACTTTCAGCAATGAAGCGCTACAGAACAGGAAGAAGAACTGAGAAAAGTACCAAGTAATCCAGCATGGAGTTGACACGGTGAGTTTTGCTACTAAGCAAAAGGGTGAAGGACTCCAGTATGAAAGATACCCAAGGACAAAGAGCTTCAAACTTTCAAGGAGAGGAAACAGAGTGTGAGAAGAGTCTGCAGTTAGTTGAAAAGTCTCTATTGGCACCTCAGAAAATACTGATAAGCCAAGAAGGATAACAGAAGACGGTATGAAAAGAGGCCAGGTGACAAACAGAGAGCGTGTGAGCTTGGGAACAGAGATACCAGAGAGAATCACACTGGAAGAAGAAGTCAGCAGGCCTTCTAGTAAACTAAAATAGCACTGCACTTGAGTGAAAACTGAAAAACAAGAAATATGCGCCTCTTCCTGGATCCCAAGTTTAAATTACTGTTTAGTAAGAACTGTATCAGTAAAAATCCCAACACCTTCACCACTATTCACAACGTTAATCAGCTACCACCCCTCCAAACACAACAGAACCAGTCATTTACTTGCTACTGCACTAGCTCTGTAAAACATGACAGTATATGCCCATTTAGTTATTACTTGTTCTCGAGCCTTCTCCAACTGTCGAACAAGGTCCTCCCGTTCATGTGCTGCAAAGTGGCGAGCCCCAACTTCATCATCTCCAAGTCTTTGCTTTGCTATTGTCATTCGAAGGAGCTGCAATTACAAAAACAGATTCAGTAAGCAAGAGAACACAGGCTGTAGGTCAGGGTACATCTGCATTAGAAAGAGTAAAGCTGTCACAGATTTCATCTCTTCCAGGCCAAAGAGCTGGTATTAGTTAAACCAGAGGGAATTTTCTGAGCTTAGGGCTCAATCCTGTTCTCAGTGAAGAATTCCAGTAGAACACTCAAAGCATCAAGAGGAGCTGAATTAGACCTTGCAATAACAGTCACCAGAGTATACAATTAATGAAAGACTAGGTAAACACAGACACATGGTCAATGTTTTTTAGGAGTGACAGGAACTAATTCCGGTCAGACTAAAACTAGAGAATTCTCAGGAAGCCATTTTCGTACGTAAATCTTAACATTCTCTGCAGCAGAGAACTCTTCCTAGTTAAGAATAAAAAGGCATGAAGTGGCTTGCCCAGCTTCATTTTACTGATACCGCTTAAAATCTCACTGCAGTACATAAGTGCAGAATTTGCCTTAACAGCTGCTAACACATTTGCTTGTGCATTTTATTTACTTACAAAAGTTAATTCCTGTTAAAAACAAAAAAACAGGCCAACAACAAAAAGACTGGGCCAAAATGCTCAAACAGCTAATGAGCTTTGTGACTGCTAAAAACAGTCTGACTTGAATTAATACAGTTATATCCAATATCCAAAGCAAAAAGCAACTACCTTCCAAGAACCACTGAGTATTAAAATAACAGTACATAAGGCATTCAGCATTTAAAGTTGTTTATGCTGAGTACAACTAGACAAAAGTGTTGCTTCTCCATGGTCTCATCTGTAGGAGCTCCACAGAGACTAGAGAAACCCCACAATAACCAGCCTGACTTTCCCCATATCTTTGACTGCACCAAGGAATTAATGTACATCATTATATTGCAGAGTTAGGCAAAAATCAATCTTCTGAAGTAGAAGATTGTACATTAAAATCTATCTTTGGTATTTATGGGATGCCAGTCACCATAGCTTCAATGTGCCAATTAAAATCCTGCTGATGCAAGACAGACTACCAAAATCATCCTCCCCACTTATTTCAGCTCCATTTCAGTGCGAGTCACTGAAGCTAGTACAACTTGTTCTGATAAGCAGTTCACTTGTTCAGGGGAAGCTCTGCCCCCAAAAGTAACTGTTTTTGGCAAACTACATTTCCTTATCCCCACAGGGAAAGTACAAACCACTGCACAGTTAGTAAAGCTGAATGGATCTTAAGAGATGTAATTCCTATTAATTTCTTTATCCAAACAAATAAGTCAAAAAGGCAACTAGCAAATCCCAAATGGCTTCATAGCTAAGGGACTGTTTTTTTTTTTTTAAATGCTAAAAGGCTGATGAACAAAAGACATGGTAATGTGATTTAATTCAGGTAGATTAATTTAATGTCTAGAATCTCTTGCTAGTGAGAAAGGCAGTAAGAAACAAATGCAATAACATTTTGGGGACTCATTTTTGTTCAGAAAAACTGGATACAGGGAGGGGAATCACACTTTACTAATGTCTTCAATGCCTGCAGCAGAGCAGAACTCCTGCGTAACACTCAGCACCAGGCTGGGAACTGGATCAGAGCTGTGACTCATGCACTATGACCAGCCCTCCTCCAGCCCAGGAGGGGGTGAGGCATAAGATGTAATTTTAACTGCAAGCAATTATTACTTGCAAGGTCAAACAGTCTGCCAATAAATGGAGAACTCTTAATTTATGGCTAATTTTGAGGTAGAAAAAAAAATAGTATGAGGTCTTACAAAAAGAATGCTTCAGAAATCCAAATCCAACCAATAAAGCAGCATTATAAACATACATAAAATAAAGTAAAACACCAATCCATAAAACGACAGAGTGCTTCTTCCAGACAGTTGGCCAATCAGAGAGTTGACAGGGCAGAACAGGCCAAGTCCTTTAATTCTGCATTGCAAATGTCTCATGAGGCAGCACCACCTGCTATAAAATTCCTCCCTGAAAATGCTGTGACCCAAAGAGACACTAAGTATTATGCCAGAGGGTTAAGGGTTTATTCATACATTAGTGCTTTGTTATAAACTTTATACACCTGCCCTCTGGCTGCTGTATTTTTATTTCTGTCATTCAGAAATCACTGAGGAAAGGACTGCACAACTTCATTTTGCAGCTAGAGAACAGGTTCATGCTACCCCTCAGGATTCTGTGAACAGCACTCGCAGCAGAGTGGATTTAAATTATGGGCACCTTATCAGAGATAGCTCCTGTTTGTCAAGAACCCATAGACTGTTAACCAAAACAATCCAGTGCTGCAAGTCTTTATTATTTTAATATCACAGTTTTTTCTTAATCAGTGTCAGCTAAAATAATTATTCATAAAGTAGCAACTCTGTAGCAGCCTCACAATGCCCCAAACAGGCTTCACTGCAGTAGCTGCTGTGCAGGCTAGGAGTCCACAGACAATGCCTGAGCCAAAGCTGTACATTCCTGATTATTGATAAAACATGCAGAAGGAAAAGAGAAACAAGCACAACCAGTACATTCTTAATGGAAGGCAGAAACTGTCATGTTTAGCCACAGTTACTGACGGCAACTGTCTTCACCATGTTGTCTACAAAATCTTAAAAAGTGGACCAGAACTATGCAAATTTGCTACCTTACGTCCCAGTTCTGCCAAAACATACGCATCACATTTAACATTTTGAACTGTTGCTGCATGAATGATTGTCTGCCTTATAATAATGAACTGTCAGTAATACCGCAGCCATTGTTCCATGCATCTTCCTCTCACTTAGCACTGCCCTCGACAGCTTACAAAACCATTTCTTTGCATGGGCAGGAATTCAAGTGAAGGCAACTGAGTCATCTAGTCTTCCAGAAGCCTCCAGTTTCTCTTATGCTTTCCATTTGCACCCTTTTACAAGAGAGAATTAGATTTCTCAGCTATCCTCTTCTATGATTCAGTAATTGTTCTCCAGGCATTGCTGCCAGAATGTTAGGAAGGAAAAAGATTTACAAATAACTATCATAAACATAGAATAGTTTTCATGTGTCAAGGCTGATAAGAGATTGTGATCAATCATAAAAATAAATAGTCTTAGATATCTGTTGCTGGAGCACTGCAGTCTAGCTGTTGCTGTATTTCTCAAACTGCAGCAACAAATCCTTCCAAAGACTGCCTGAAGAAGTTTTATTACTTGTGCCAATGGAATTCTAGCTGAAATTAAAGGAAAAAATTAGTCCAGTTAAGCCAAATGCAAGTAATTTGTTATTGCCTAACTGATGACGTACTTAACATGATTTCAACAGCAAGTAAAATGTCACCAGTCTTCTTGCTAATCCAAGTGACTGTATCCTACTAGTAGAAAGCATTAAAGCGGTGAAAAACAAGTCAAGCCATCAAAACATTTCTTTATCAATGGAGCTAATGTGTGATATTTAAAGACTTTTTTTTCTTTTTTAGCCCTACAAAGCTCTTGCCACTCAGTGACAAAGCCTGCATGAGTCACCCCTGCTCAGACACAGGCAGAACTGTTCATCCATAAGCAGCTTCACTTGCTGCAAAAGCAGCTGTTTGTTCATCTCTTGCCAGAAGTAAGGTTGACGTAGACCAGCTGGGCAGGATGCCCTCCCTCACTTTAGAAAAAGCAGAGAGAAGAATGCAGGGGAAAAATGTAAGAACAAGCAAATTATTACAGTTCTTTATTTTTATATATACCATGCATTATCTGGGCTCCAGTGCCTGAAGTAACCCAGCTGCCAATACAGGAGAACTGATGAGCAGAACAGAATGGCTTTGGGAACAAGCCTAGAATTTTATCACCAAAGCTAGGAGGGAGCAAAATCTGACACAGGAGGAGAGTGTTAAATCCCTCAGAGAGATGGCAATGCTTTTTTAGGCACTTCAAAAACAGCAACCTGACTCTAAAATAAGCTCTATTTTTCATTTACTGGGAAAGTGAAGAATGTGTTCCAAAATGAAAATCCTAGTCTATATTAATCCCTGTCTGATGCAGCTCTTTCCTCCCCCTCTTTATTTAGTGATGCACTATTTTGCACCTTTTGGAGAGGGGCATGGTGGGCAGAACGACTCTTTTTGTATTTTTCCATTTGTTAGGAGGATCGTGAATTTAAATACATGCTGAGAATACAGATGTCACAAAAATGACCAGCTAATATCAAGTTAACCCACAAAGGCAAATCTAAACAAAGCCAGTTCAAGCACAAAGAAGTAGGCTGTGTTACCAAGATCATATTGTTATAAGGGATTAGAATAGGTATATAACCTCAATATTTAAATATGTTGTAGTTTTACTACCTTTGTATTCTGTTTGTACTTACAAACCCTTGTTATCTGTTTAGGACAGGCTTGGGAAGGGCTGCATGGCATAATCCTGGCAGTGCAGAACTGCAAGGCACTGTCTTCTACACTGTAATACAGTTCAAACAATAACATGCAAATGAAAAGAAACACTGGGAAAGTTGGTCTTTGAAGACTTGAGCAAATTACACTGAATGCTGTGCATACTACAAGTTCAAGACTCATTTGACACTTTCCCAGCTCCCTGCACACCTTCAAGGAAGTCCTTTGTGATAAACAATGAATAAAACTGCATTATCACAGTATACGTATGTTTAAAATAAAATAAATAAAATTAACTTGAATTAATGGAAAGAAAAAACCACCTGAATAATTAAAAGCTACATCATTTTTACTCACATTTTTAAATCCTGTAACTTTAAAACTGTAGTTGAGGGAAGTTATCATTCATTATTTGTTTCATTTTTTACTTCGTTAACCACCTCAACTCTCAAAATCAACCTCTCACTAGTTTGATCTCTGAATGTACTTTTGCATACAGCTCCAGCTGCGAATGTTACACTCATTTGGCTTGAGTTTAAATATTTCAATTAACAGAGACAACAGGAGTTTGATTAATACCAAATGGCAGATTTTGAGCAATGTTCCATGTAACTTGTTAAATTTAGCAATAAAATAAATTTGTTATGTAAGGGTAATAGGATGAGGGCTTAATACAAAGCTCACTATATATATTTGTGATCAACTGCTCCATATTTTTGAAAGGAAGAATTATGCCTTCCCTGGTTTTATCATTTACTAAAATTTTGCATTTTAATTGAAAAAAACTTGAAAATTAACGCATGATGAAGAACACATGCTTATCTGTAGTTATTTGTAAGAGGAAATACCACTAATAAAATATATTTTAAAAAAAGAAAAAAAGAAAGTCTGAGATCATTAAAGCAAGGCTAGATGCAAAAGACATAGTTAAGGACAACTGAGCAAAAGTAGCATACAAAAATAGGTAATAACCTGCACTTACTGGTATCCTGTACAAGCTGCTTTTGTTCTACTTTTTTGAGCATTTATTGTAATCAAAGTATTCTATAAGTTCTGTAACCCATTGTTTTAGTTGTTTTCCTAAGAAGTAAATGCAAAACTCCAGCCCAGTTTACACATTCCATGCCATTTATTGACAACAAAAGTTTATAATACCTTATTGTCCCCTTGTACTTCTCCCAGTCTCTGCTGAAGCTCTCTAATCTCTTCTCCAAGATGTTTATTTCGATCTTGAGCTTCGCTCAATAGCTGAGCAAGATTTGCCTAGAAAAGGAGTAAGTATCAGTCAGAAGTTAGTGCCTATGCAGAGCAGTGTAGGTGGTGATTGAAAAGAAACCCTAGACTCACTCCTTATCTGCCAACAGTCTTTGCTTTTATTGTTGTTGGGACCCAGACTTCATGCTTCATTAGAGAGATAACAACAAAAGTCACCAGGGTTCCCTTATCTTTAATAGTAGGAAATACATACAGCGCGTGTGCATACACACTCCCACAGCAGCACACAAAACCCAAACACGACGAAGTGGAAACATCTACGCTAGTTCTGGTATCTTGGCTAGTGGGAAGAGCGAAATGCAGAGCACTTTGACAATATTTATACAAAGTTGACAAAATAAGTTTTAAACTTACATACAATTAGACAAAAGGTATAGCTGAGAAATAATTATGATATAATTATATTCCCTAATAGTGTTTAGAGCAGATTCCTAGCCGGTAAAGAGGAGGCCAGCCAGAGTCTCTACCCCTGTACAGTTGTACAATGGATATCTAGTACCACAAAACGTCAAATGTGACCTGACTTGTGCTGTTAGGTAGTACATAGACTTCTAGAAAAACAGAGGTGAAAGCTTGAGATTAAAAACAAACAGCTCACCCCAAAGTAATCCAGGTCAAAACTTATCATTCACATTAACGTATTAAGTCAGCAGGGCAAGCAGTGTGGTCTATAATTTTACAATTAAATTCCACCAGCTTGATCACTAACCAAAAAATAATGCAATCTCCTCCTTTACTATCTATGATATCAGAAAATGAGCAAATACTACAGATAAATTTATTATATTTTTACCCTAAAAATATCTCATGAATACACAAACATCAACTCAGCACAGGAAAAGCCTACCAATGACAACTCTTTTAAGAGAGTTATAATCATAGTGGCTAATGTGCAGCCTTTCAAGACATTGCCTATGGACAGCTAGGTGTGTCATCCATTCCCATAAATCTGAAGATTAAAAAAAGGAATAAAAAAAGAATTTTCAAATCTTCTAGGCATGACTTGCTAAAGGCCCATTAATCAATATTTCTAAACTACCCTTACACGTACTCCTTGGGTTTGAGGTCAGTGCATTAACTCACTGTTCCTAATTCTCTCTTGGTATTATAGGTTTAGTTTTAGATTCCCTATTTGCTGTGTTTCACTTTCAACCTCTCCATTTCTCTATTTTGATGTATCTCTTTCTTTTTCAGTCCTGCTCTTTTACAGTCATTCTCACTACCACTTGACAGTCTCACAGCATGTTTGTAAGTTTTATCTTTAAAACTCATACACTATCAAACCAACAAGGTGTCTGACAGCCATTCCTGCAACCTTTCCCCTTGTTTACTAACAACTGCTATTTCCACACATCCGGTTTTGTATTTAAGAGAACTACTAACATGAATATTAACATGAATATAGTTATGCATGCATCTGACCATTTGCAGGATTAGACTACTAAACTATTAAACTATAATAACTGAAACTTTGGTATGCTACTATATGAAGAAGCCAGCTCCAAATTCCAATTGGTCTAAAATAGCAATAGCTTCAAACTTTTAAACAGGAAAAATAACTCAAGAAACTGATATATCCTACTTGATGAACAACAAGTCTAATTCACTGCTACAGCTTTTGTAGTTCTGGTGCTCTGAAATCAAAGGTTCAGAAGTAAGGTAGGTTTCCCACACTTTTGGATGAGATTAAAGCATTTTTAAACTACTGATAAACCTGAACACTGCAAATAAATAATTTGGGAAGAGTGTAATAGCAAAAAATATAAATAGCCAGTTATAGGGCCAAAATTAAGCTGCCTCTAATTTTATTTTCAAGACAGCAACCATTCAAGCAATGCAAAAGGTTCCTCAAGTATGCTTTGGTAGATGACTTTTTTTCTCTACAGGTTAAACAATGTGTAATAGTCATTCATACATTGAAGGAATCAAGGAGCTTCAGAACACATTCAGTCAATAGTTTTGAGAGATACTTCTTAATGGCTGTTTAAAAGAAAGAAAACTAAGAACCCATGTTTGCAGGAAATTGTATTTAAAGTGAAGTATCTATGGCTACTGCTCAGATGCAATTATTTTTTTTTTTTTAAAAAGCTGACTTCAATAAAGGCTATCCAACCACACCAGTCTGAGTTAGTTAAAAGGAACAAACCTCTCTGAAACACTTCTATTTATAAAGTCCCTTTTTATGGTGAATTTGAACAACTCCTAACGCTGCAATAGCACATGTAATTTCAACACCTGGGAAGAACTCAAGCTCACTAATCAGTGTTTACAGCCACACCACCAGGATTCTAGCAGTCTGTAGTCAAAACCCAGCTCCCAGTAACTGCAGGAAAGGTATTACCATGCCTATACTAAATCTTCCTGTTCAGATTTATTTCCTTTAAAACCATTTCTCTGGGATTGCAATTCTATGCTGAATTTTATTTGTCAGTCATATAAATGACTTAACGTGACAAAAACCTTTATACTCAAGATACGGCTTTTGTAAGAAACTTTAAATGAAGAATTTTAAACACCAAAATAAAACAGCCTTGTTTAAGCATGCTAAGAGCATTACAATGAGCTAAGTATAGACTTGCTCCTTAATGCAAAGCTTCCATTATACTTCTTTTAAACTAAAACAACCAAGCTATGTCACTGAATTAGTCTCCAGCAATTATTCATTTCCCTGGCGTAGAGGTTCCATACAATGTATAATTTAGATTGTTAAGAGTTTTAAAGGTTTTGGCAAGACCTCATTAAAGCTCTCAGTTAAATGTGGATAGAAGGAGAATTATTTGATTTTCCAAAGTGCTCTACTGGGCTTAAAGAGAGCCAGCCAAGAGGATATGTTGAACAACACCTGGACTTGGTACCATTTCTTTGGCATATATTAGAAAACATACCATATGGTTGAAAGATGATAAAACTAACAATGGAGGACTGACTTCGTGAACCTGTAAGCATGTATTTTTTTGAAGAAAGGGGAGAAATCTATGCATGGAGAAAGGCGATTAATTTTTCCACCTGGCAACTTCTTTTCAATATTCATAGAACAAAAACAGAATTCACTTAAGAGATTCAAGACAAATTACTTCAGCAGACAATAAAGCTCGTATCATTTACCCGTGCAACAGAGAACAACTCTCTGAAAATTAGCCAAATTCAGCTTCTCTAGACTCAATTTCTTCAACAGTTTCTTTTAATTCTAGGTGAAGTCTTTTTAAGATTCCTGTAACTATCAGAGACTTTACTTCTTTCACTCACACTATTCAAAACTAACTCCAAAGTACTGATGAAGAGAGATTTCTGAGCCATGGGTAATGGAAAGATGCAGAGATCTACAACTTTATGCTGCCTCATCTTGTCTCGCCTCTGCAACAACCCACAGCAGTGCAAAATGTTTGTTTCTCCTACCCTCTCAATGCAGCTGTTTCTGATATGAAATAACAGATAGTGCTTCATTCAAGTCTCTGATTAACTGCCCAGTATCAGGCAATCCTTCTAGAGCTCTGTCCACCTCTGGCAACGTGCAGTTTCTGGCAGGTATTCTTGAGCCTCTGCAGCATGACAAGGTATTTGTTTTACATCTGTCTGTCACAGGAAGCTTGCATGTATCACAGAATCATAGAATATCTCAAGTTGGATGGGACCTATAAGGATCATCAAGTCCAACTCCCTGCTTCTCGCAGGACTACCTAAAACTAAACAATATGACTAAGAACATCATCCAGACAGTCCTTGAATTCCAGCAGGCTTGGAATTCACATTCCTGGGGAGCCTGTTCTAGTGACTGACCACCATCTCAGTGAAGTACGATTTGAGTGCAGTCCAAACCCCCATTGCAGTACTAGACATAAGAAACTGTCCCCATATTCCTTCTTCCTCTGACCAAAAGCAAACGTGACCATAGCCAACAATCCCACCAGACACTAGGAAGAAAGGGGAAAAAGATTGATGTGAAAGTGCCGAGTGGGAAGTGCCTACCTTTATCACACAGGGGAAAAAAAGCACCCTAAATCAGAACAGACCAGAGCGTGAAAGATTCAATGGGATGGGATCACAGACCTCACCCTTTTCCACTTAGACTTTGTTAAAATTTGCAAGAGCGTTTTTTGGGATAGAAAGTGGAAGACAACCTTACTTGTAGCTACAGGTGAGCATCTGAAATGACTGACAAAAATACCTATAAATATTTATTAACATATGCCAGCGAATACCTGTCGGACAGCATCAGATCTTTGCTCACTACTGACCAATGACCCAAGAAAAAGGGGGAGAAAGTAACTCCAAATAGCCATCCCTGGCATTACGCACTACACTTAAATTTGGCTCCTTTAACAATTTTGCAAATCTAGCCACACATACACAGTGTTATTTTTCTCCACACCACTTTAAAAATGATGGATAGTAACAGAGTCTTTAATATAGCTCTCAATTCTCTTGCACATAAATCTTATCCGACACTTAAAAAAAAAAGAATTAAAAAAAAAAAAGGACTTTCTGCCTTTACATACTGCCTGAAGAAGTAATTTGGCAAGGTGGAAGACGGGGAAACTTTCAACATATCTTTACAGTTAAAAAATATTTAAAAATACAAACACGCATTTCTATACTGCAGTTTACAGTCTTTTACGTTTGTTTCAGCCACACCTTGAAACGAAGAACACTGAATTATAGGGCTGGCAGAAAAAAAAGCTTGATGAAACATTAAGCACACTTGATGGGTGTGACTGATAGCAAATTTAATTGCACTTTCTCCTCCAATGCGTTCACATGATTGCAATGGCTGAATTAATACAGGAAAACCTGCTTTGCTTACCAACTACCACTGTTCACTCCAAGGTAGAAGAACTGATGATCCCCCCTAGCACTAGCTTCCCTACAATAAAAACCAAAAGTCATTGTATTTTTCTCTTTAAGTTGAAAAACCATGTAGAGAAAACTTCTGAAATTATAGGTCCTGGGCATACTAAACAAAATACACTTAATATGGGTCATGTTTCCCC